CATTCGCGATTGTAAATGATAAGCTATCCACTGCTCTATACAGGAAGCCTACAGACCGGCAACAGTATTTGCACTTTGACAGTAGCCACGTGAAACATTGCAACACTAGCATCCCTTATAGTCAAGCTTTACGCTTTAAAAGAATCTGCTCAGAGCAATCAGAGTTTCAAAAATATTGCAGAATACTAAAGGATGCTCTAGTCAAACAAAAATATCCGCCAAAATTAATTGATGACGCAATAAAACGTGCCGACATGCATAATCGTAGAACGCTGTTGTGCGCTGCTAAAAACTCAACTTCCTCACCGCAGACAAACTTAGTCCTTACTCATTCTGCGTCCGTTCCGCGTGTTTCGAATGTGCTGAGAAAGCACCACAATATTCTAATGCAAAGTGAACGCTTAAAAGCCATTTTCACCGAACCACCTAAAGCAGTGTATCGCAAAGCTAAAACTATTCGAGACATACTCTCATCGTCATCATCGTCGAAAGCGGACAGTCCGGACATGATCGGTTGCCATCCTTGCCAAAAACCGCGATGCAAAGTATGCCCGTACATGCGCACATTCCAACAGGTCACCAGTACTGCTTCTAACTTTTCCTTAAAAATCAAAGGCAATCTTGTCTGCGATTCTAAGAACGTGATATACATGATAGAATGTGCACTATGTGAAATACAGTACATTGGTCAAACAGAAGGGCCTTTTAGACTGCGTTTTAACAACCATAAATCTCATGCTAACACTTTGCCCCACTTGCACATTTCAAGACACGTGCACCTTCCTGGCCACTCTTTTGAAAATCTACAGGTCACATTACTAGAATCTGGTTTCCGCACAAATTATAATAGAGAAGCCCGTGAATCATTCCTCATCTATAAGTTCGACGCCGTCGCGTCCGGTCTAAATGAAAACGTAGGAAAACTTAGTTGCCTATCTGCGTAACCTGTGTCACCCTGTTCATCTTTTTTCAATCTTGCTCAGCAAGTCACACTACATTGTCTGTATCCGTTGATTACGTAGCAGCTTTGTAACGTCTTTGGGATTTTTATTAGTATTTTATTATTTTTTCTTCTTTTTCCCCTTCCTATTACCAGTCGGACTACTTTTCATGTTATGTGCTTTATCTTTTATGCGTTTTATCTTTTATTTGTAAACTACGTGCTCGCCACGTGCTCGCCACGTGCTCGCCACGTGCTCGCGCATGGAAGCAATATCTTTTTACTCGTAGATTAGGTGCCCTTCATATTGTGTTACTTGCATATGTATATATATGCTCATATATCACCTTTCATGCCGGTTTTCATATTTGTATCTCATTGATATGCACATGTATATAAACAGCACTCGTGCCATAAACTGTATTCTGATGAAGGCTGGACCCACGGCCGAAACGTCAATAAAATCACTTCGTACGTGCGTCTTCTTCCCTATATATATATATATATATATATATATATATATATATTTGGCACGGCACGGCCTATTTGGCACGGCACGGCACGGCCTATTTGGCACGGCAAGGCCGTGCCACGGCGTGGCACGGCCTTCCCTGACGAAGGCCGTGCCACGGCTGAAACGTTGGCATAAAAGTATTGCTCTTTCGTACGTGTACTCGCTTGTGTTCTTAATATATATATATATATATATATATATATATATATATATATATATATATATATATATATATATATATATATATATTGATGGCTCGGCAAATTGTCCTCACTCAGTCAGCCAGAGTTATATTTGTTGTTCAATGTTGTTTATAACAGCATCAGTCGAAAAAGTTGATAAGCTTATCTCTCTAAAACAGGGTTATTCGAACAAGTGTGAAAAGAACAGCTGGTACTGAAACAGTGGCGTGCAGTATGGTGATATGTTTATAATTGGTCATATCACCTTGGTTACGGCATGATAACTAAGGCAGTATAGGTGGTTCTCATTAATATGAATTATAAACATTTGGGTGGCTATTACTTTTGTTATTCAGTTTGTATATGTTTTCCACAAAAGACAAGCAGGTATCATCAGTATTTGTAGTAAAAGTTGCGTTTTTTTATTATTGCTTCGGTCTCACTAAGTAAAACAAAAAAGATCCCAAAAGGTTTTCTCGAAGCCTGCCACATTTTGGCTAATTTTGGAATGATCAGTCCATCAGAAAACTGGCGTCTGAGTTCAGCATTTTAAATAAGTAGGAGGAGTGCGGAGAACGTCTTACTGCTTCATTACCTTACATTTTCCTTTTCTAAGGGAGTAATGTAGCTGTCAAAGCGATGTATTTCTGAGAAATCCTAAAACATAAGTGGTGCGTTAAATTTACCCGTAACACTTCGCCAATAGAGTTAAAGCTTGGTAATTTATCACCTATTAGTTCGAAAAACTTGATAATCCAGACAAGTTCTTAGACACGGCCATTCTCTGTATGTTCGATGGCAACAATACCTTCACTGATTCAGTGACATTTGACTACAACTCGGTGCAATGAGATGTTCTTCGGGGAGCGCCGAGTGTGAAGCCCACTCCAAATGTGCGGCGCAAACGGTAAAATAAGGACAATGACGGACAGCCGCACTGGGGGCCGTTCTGAGCATTCCCCTATTCAGGTACACTCTAGCTTCGCTGAAAGGATAAGCGATGCCCTTACCTATCTCTCCACAGTTTAGAATGTGGTTAAGCACCGCTGCTCGTAAACACGCCATCGCAGTATCGAATGAAGGATAGGGTAGCGCGTGAAATTGAAAAAGAATAGTACCCCATTCACAAAGCAGGTAATTCTTGCATGACGAAACCATCGGTAACGTTATTTGCCACAGATTTGATTTTCTCGGACGCGCGCCATAAAAATAGTTTTTCTTTGCTCGTGGCTTTCTAACACAAACTCATCTAACCAAGCATACATATTTTGGCTTTTTCAATTAAAATTGAGTTGATCAGTTTGCACTGTTCTGCGTTATTGCTATTTTCCGCACCACCTAAAATTATTGTTTCCTCATAGCAAAAAAGTTGGTGTTCCGGAAAATCAACTGCTTTGCACGCAGCGTCACAAGCCTGGGAAAACTAGTTGGGTTAAATCACGTGTGCCCAATAAACAATGCATTGCTGAGGTCAACTTTTTAGGCATTGCAGGACAGTGACTCTTTCAGAATGTAATTCAAGAAGGATAACCGTCGATCAGTTCGGCGGCGGCAGGACCAGCATGCTTTGCAGGATTTCCTGTTCTAGCAAAGTAGTTCATAATACGTAGACAGTGCACTTGGTTGACTTCCCGTATTGAGGTTCTATGGTGATTAAAGAATATTTTTAGTTTGTTGAGTGTTTCAGCTATCAGGCACAGGACAAGAGTGTCTCATTAACATGAAAGCACGATTAACCTGACATGATAAAAAATAGCCTGAGTTTCCTATAAATGTAGCCTATAAACGGTGTTCTACAATTACTTCATGAAATGCTTAAAGGAGCGCTGAAAATCTTCCTCAATTAACCATAGAAACGATCCACTGGAAGAGCTTACTTCCATACAAATCCAATGCAGCAATATTTCAAAAATCCGTCCAGTGCGAGTGGAGTTGCAAATATTTGGCGCATGCTGCAATGGCTCTCTCTCTTCGCTCAAAGCTAAGCAGGGAGGAATGGCAGGGGCAAAGAAAGCACGTAACCTGTGCGTAGAGATCTTCAGAACTCTTTTTTTTTCTTCGAATGAGCGGCTTTCTCAGTGTGATCGCGCACGCGCGTGTGCACAAGTCACAGCCTCCACCGGCGGTCTCTGTAACGACCGAGTTCGCCATGTTCAAATCAGCCAATGACTTACATAGATGGGCTTGCTAAGAGTCACATTTTAGCGTCTTGTGTCGTTGGTCGGGAGAAGAGAAAGCGATTTTTAGCCGCATTTGATAGTTTATAGTGAATTACAGGCCGCGTGCTGCTCTATAATGTTTGGCTCGCGTGTAGCCGGGAGTCTCCTATCGATTGGCGGCCTTTTCTGACCATGCTCAAAAAGTGTTGCAGGGATGTTTTAACATAAATATTGGAATAGATGCTCTCTGCATTCAGCAGTGTCTTTTGTATCGTAGCAAGCATTCTAAGAGAACTACATACATCGTCTAAGACAATACTTAAAGAAATAAAAGAGTGAAACTTTTCTGTATTCAATATACAGAAAGTTTAACAAAGCATTTAAGGTAAGGCCACTACCCGGCGGTGTGTCACCTGGTTGATAAAGTCACACTTCCATAGGAAACGTGCTGAATATGACGGACGCGCAGAAACGACGCATTGAAGGAAAAAATTGTGGATGTCAAAGTCATGATGCATTAGTAAACTTTATAAAGAGCACTAATACAAGACAGTGGTAGATGTAAAAGGCGTGTTTTTAAAGCGAGAGGCAGGTTTCACTCCCGGATTCTGAACGTTTTTGTTTTCTGATCGTATGTATCTTGACGTCATTTACTTGATATAAGTACGCAAGTGAAGTCATGGAGTACCACAACATGAAACACTTTCGTGTTGAAATACTGCAGGCAAGACTTCCAAGCAGTTGAGGAAATTTAAGAAGACTGCCACCGCAAGAAAATTCAACTAGGAAGCAGCAGAAAATATTGGACTTTGGTTACTTTTTCAGGATTTTCTCACCCGTTTGGAAGAACAACCGTATAGCGCCTACGAATAACGTTTATCAATTTTGCGTAAAGTTGGAGATTTCCTGGTATTAAGTGTTTGGGTTTATCAAAGGTGATAAGGTGACATTGTTTGCTTGGTCTTTTTATATTACGTACGTGGCACCACTACCTGAATATCGCCTATGCCGCAGTTTCTATTGTCATAGGAGCGGCACGTCTAATATTTTCATTGTGAGATTTGCGTGCTGAAAGACTACGCACCTGAATCTAGGATCCTATTAATGTTTTGAGTGGATGTTATGGCCGGAAGAACACAACGGAATTCATTCTGTTCGTACGCTCTAGTTCGAAAGAGCTAAAGAGTGCGAATGTTTTTACTCACCATTGGACATGTGTGGCACGCGCACGATGTCGCAATTGTCGTATTCGGCCGCCAGGAAGATATATTGAAGGGGAAGCGTTTTCACTGCAAATACACAGAGCTCAAAACATGGCATAGACAAATATCATTGTACACAGAGATCAAAACATAGCAAAGACAAATATCCAATTAGCGACGAGAACAGTTAATTTAGGGACCAAGATAATAAAAGCTTGTTCATGCCAAAATCTTTTAAAAATTCAGAACGGAAATAATATCAATATTTATAGTTTATTTAGGTGCTTAACCTACGTACTTGAACGACACTTATGGTAAAAGAGGATGTGAAGCAACTCTAGGCATCGAGTTACCTTAGCTATAGTTATCTTATCGTTTATACCAACTCAAGGAATTTCGATAGAATGCATAATATTGGCGGTTACCACTCATTTGAGAAATTGGTGCGAAGACGCCCAGCTTTTTTTCAAAAATATCAAAGAACGTTTGTTAAGTTCTTTTTTTTCTGTCATGAAAGATCATTTATAAAAGCCTTTTTTGGGTGCATGACACAACTTTGTTGCTCATTGAACGTGACGTGGGCCTTCTTCGTAGTCAGATAATAATTGTCGGTGCGACGATTACTTTGCAACAAAAAAGTATGTTCTCTGAGCAGCGTAATTTATGAGTAGGAACTACTTCTTCAGCATAGACTACACTAAAGAAAACAATATTTCAGTCTCACCACAGTCTTTTTGCTCACTAGTTTCACGGTATTCAAACATAATTGAGAAAAATTACCAGTTTATTGACTGCATTAGCTGAAGCGAAATGTTCCCCTTTTCAAGCTACTCATAAGTTTTTGCTTGCGACAAGTCGTCTTGAAAAATAACCTTCGTGCCTATTCTCGCAGTGGTACTCTTCTGCCTTTTGTGCCATTTCGGTCACTTTAATTCGGTATTCACTTCTCGCAGCCCATAGAGGTCTGAAAGTTTGCCTCTAGTCACCTCTAGTGGTCCATTATGCTCCGAAGGCAGTTTTACTGGCTCCCGGAGGATTTGGCTTTACAGAGCTGATCAGATAAAAACTAAGGCATTGATATTTTTACGGAGCATTTCTGAAATCAGCCACGGCTGGTGTCAGTCGCAACAAGTAGGAAGTCGGCAAACAATGTCCAAAAAGTAGCATGCTGTCGCATACCCAGTTTGCGAATCTCTTAACCAAGATTTTACCCGTGTCGAGAAAAGCTGACACGTTTTCCTAAAATTTTGACGTCATCGATGGTTCGGTAAGCAGAGCAGTGGATGCTATGTGAATGGGAATCGCTTGGTGCTTAGGCAAGCACTTCTCTGGTTTCGTGGTAATGAAGGTGAATTGAGCGCTGGATCTAAAACTGCAGCAATGGCTTTCTATGCACAATATTTTTCGTGAGAAATATTTTACAGACAACTTAGCTGCGCATTGTATGTCACCTTGGTTTGAAATTCAGGTAGTAATGGGCAGAGTGGAGAGTGGTCATGGTGTTAACATCAAAGTGAACAAATGTTCATGTGGGAAACCACTTAATTATCCAGTCCCTTTTGTCTATATTTTGTGAGTACTAATTTAAGAGAACCATTTCCTAGCTGAATGCAACGATATTGTCACAGCCATCAATGCAACACAGGCATCGCAAACCATCCGAAGCGCTGACAGCAGCCACTTTGGGCCATCGAGCTGGCACGCGGAGTGGCCGATAGGCTTGGTTTAACGGTACCGACGTGGAAGTCACCCGCTGCGTGCTCCCGCGTGCCTTGCAGGACCACAATAAAGTTTCGGAACCAATCCACATATCCATGGAGTGAATGATGACCCGTGAGGTGAAGCGTTCGTCAGTTCGTCCATGTTTCCGTCCGTCCATGCGTTCGCCCGAGCGTTCACCCGTGTGTCCGTTCATTCGTGTGACCTTCGGTGAGTCCGTTCGTTCATGCGCCCATCCAAGCGTCCATCCGTCCATGCTTCTGTTCGTGCGGCCGTCCTTCTGTCTGTCCATCCATCTGTCAATGTGCCCCTCTGTCTGTCGTTCTGCCCATGCATCTGTCAGTCTATCCGTCCAGCATACGTCCGTTCATCCGTCTATCTAGTAAACACTCGCATTGTACACAAAGGGAAGAAGTGTACACTCAAGGGCTCGTTTTTCCGTGTTTTTACAAAAGCAGGATTGATAGTTGTGCTAGTTAGTGATACATTATGGGCAGTAACACTGCACAAACCCACGGGACGAGAACACACACAAACAGCGCATGTTTGTATATATATATATATATATATATATATATATATATATATAGATGAATGTGTGTGTGTGTGTGACGCGAACATTGTTAAGTATTCTAATATTTCTGTAAACCGACTTATCCCTAATTACATCACAATAAAAATTTATAACGCACACTTCAGAAGATTGGTAGTTTTTTCGAGCCTTAGTGCACATGGATCGTAACATCAGTACTGACGATAAAAAAAATATGCTTCAGCAAAACACAATCTCTATGTGTGACATCATATCTTGCGTGCGGCAGAGTATTCTTTAAGTGCAGCAGGTGAAATATAGCTTCTCTGCATGCATTCTTACCGCTTATTTGAGATGGTGTGTAGGCATTTGCCTTCTCGTAACCTTCGGTGGTCTCCGTAATCAGGTAAAGTGTCCTGTTGATCCTGTAACATAACCACCCTTTGCATTGAAACTGCCAACATGAAATAAACACATATTTATCTATGTATGCTGGTAGACGTGAAAAACAAGCCACTGAGAACTGCTTACAACCCTTCAGGCTCATATCTACCCCGTCACTGTACTATTACTCCTTAGTCTAGCATGCCTTTCAACTTTTTACCACTGCGGGAGCAGTGCATGCACGCGATGGAATTGGTGCTATTCTTTTGTACTTAAAAGCCTAATGCCTGTGCTACACGGCAAAAGCATGCTATATGGCGATTAGTTATTAAGGCATATTACCCTCCAAGCCATAAAGCCCTTTTTACAGTGTAAGCTGTTATGAGATCACAACACGGTCACACGCGGCGCGTAGGTGTCCGTCGCTGGTATTCATAGCCACTATCATACGAATAATAAAATAACGCGAATGAATACCAAGGACATAGGGGGATTCTAACCTGGGTGCACTGCGTGCCAACTCGGTATTCTAGCACTGAGCCACGCTGGTGACTCGTTCGCAAACTTGTCTTAGGCAAGCTTCAAGTCGCGAAAGGAATCGCGCTAAAATAGTGACGGGTTTTAAAAGAGCAAAGGAACAAGCAGGCGGCACACAATGCAATCGCATAACGAGTAGGTCATTCATTGCTCCAACACTATACGAAAACCTTGTTCTTTATCGCCTATTAACTGTGGCACATACCAACTTCAGGCGAAATTGTTCATCGCCGTCAGTCACAACATGAAACACAAAGTTCGGACAACATTTGTTTCAAGTCTTTCGCGGATACCACGCTTCTCCAAAGAATAACGACCGAAAACATAGTGAATGCCGGCTTACTACACAGAAATTATGGCAATTTATGACGTAGTGGTTACCCAACAAGTGTGCTTCTGTCATTTACACGCCCTGTCGTGGTGGCCTAGTAGCTAAGGTACTCGGCTGTCGTGGTGGCCTAGTGGCTAAGGTACACAGGTAATGGGAACGAATGCCGGCTGCGACAGCTGTATTTTCAATGGAGGCGAACATTCTGTAGGCCCGTGTGCTCATACTTGGATGCACGTTAAAAAAAAACAGGTGGAAAAAGTTTCCGGAGCCCTTCACTTCGGCGTCTCTCATAATATTATGGCGTTTTTGGGACGTTAAACCCCACGAATTAATCAATCCATCTATCATTTGTCAAAAAAGTGTTTAAAAAAGGCTCTTGAAGGCCTTCCAGCTTTCGCTGTGACTGTGCTGCGAGTTCCACGCATGTCTGGCAATTTTTAGGAGCACATTTCATCAAGCTCGAGGTGAAACGTCTCGTGTTCGCCAAAAGAAAAGCCAGCGTCATTGCTTATTAGGCACGCCCACCTATGGAGACAGTTCGCGCAGTCACCACGCTGAGTTCGCCCACCCCATGAGCCGAGCGCAAGTGACGAAAGGCCCTTGCTTATAGCGGCGTTGCCACAGCCAGCTTTGCCTGTTAGTTCTCGCACTACAGTTCGAACATTCTTGTATGGTCTTACAGGCTGTCGTTGGACAGCGTTTCGCATACGCCGAGACAAGATTTATCATCTGTGAAGCAGGCCACAATAGCTTTACACAACGGGTGTTAACTGCTCCACTTTCTATGCCAAACTTTCTTTAGGTACAATGTTTACTCATTGCCAGAGAAACTTTTTCTCTGTGTCCATACAAAATGTTTTGGCAAATTGTCTATCTGGATTCATGAATTTTTATGATGCCAAAAATGACGTTCATAAAATGTTCGCTTCATTTAGTAGTGTACAAAGTAATTCGCGAGGGCGTTTTTCCTACACGTTTTATGGATATGTACAACCACGTCAGTCGAGAAATTATATTTCAATTGTTGTCCAAACGTGCCAAGAAAACGCGGGCATGCTGGGAAGAGGCAGCAAAGACTTGAAAGAAATCTAGAGGAGCGACGAGTCTAGAGCCCAGTGCTGAATCTCCTGGTGAGGCCACCACAACTTCGATTGCGGGGTAGCTATATGCACGATACATTTTCTAATTTAGTGGGTATATAAATGCTAACTGATCATTATTCTTTCTCCGAAGCAGCGAGATATCAGCTACAGTTGTGTGACATTATGGATGATGACGACAAATTGAACTCGGAGCCCTTTAATAATTTTCTTTTTATCTCTTTATATTTTCAGTCGATACTGTTATATACAAATAGTTACTGTCAACTTATGAACATATAGCAATACTGTTGTATTTGAGTCATACCACAATTTCACTTGTAATTTAGGAGTTTTCCTTTAGGGATACGCGGCTCATGGCATATCCCACAGTGTGGATGTGTACTCTTTATACAAGGTTACACTTTGCCACACTCTTATTTTTATTATGTTAAAAATGAAACCTAGCCACTCGCTCTTCAGCTTGCCTTTCCTAACGTATGGTTGTTGATTATCACCCGAAAGTCACGGATTTCCTTCCGGCCGCTGTGGCAGCATTTTGGTGCTGGAAGTCTTCCAGGAGTTCACTTTCATGAAGAACGCTCTTTGGTGAGAAACGCTCTCTAACTGTGGGATCTCAAACCACGTTAAAGAACACCAGACGGTGAAAATTTCTAGATCCTGGTACTAAGGTTTCCCTCATAATGAAATGATGCTTTTGGGACGAAGCAACTTAGATATTATTATTATTATTATTATTATTATTATTATTATTATTATTATTATTATTATTATTATTATTATTATTATTATTATTATTATTATTATTATTATTATTATTATTATTATTATTATTATTATTATTATTATTATTATTATTATTATTATTGATGTTGGTGTTGGTGTTGTTGCTCTTGAGCTTGGCATTTTGCGCAAAAAAAGACAGGTGCCGACTAACAACTGAAATTATTTTTTGTCAAACATACACATAAAGGCAAGGCAGACACGTGTTTATAACTGCAGGTTGGCACTTAGATAATCTGTGTAGAGTTTATTTAGGTTCAACGATGATCTTGCCACACATATATCACCAGACTTGTGTAGGAAGAAGGTCACAACATTCTTCCGCGCTATCCTATCTTTGAGCTTCTACAACACTTCCATTTTATCTATAGTACACTGAAGGACGACAACTACATTCCTTGCAATGCAGGCATAGATTAGACGAAGGCTTTCCTTTCAGATAATTTATGTCTTTCAATATCTGTAAACAATTAATATTCATTCCTTACTAAATCAAACCGCAGTGTTTTCAAGATCAAAGATGGGACAACGCGAGAGATTGTTGAGGCCTTTTCTTACCTAATTCTGGTGGCGTAGGTGCGGCTAAATCACACATACCTACTCTTCTGCTTCCGTGTCCAGTTCAGTAATCGTGGGCTGTAGTTCGTCCCCTGAGTCACTCATCAAGGCAATGTCTTCCAGCGAATAGCTGGTTACTAAGATATTCTACATTCTGATATTTCCAATCTAGGGCCCTGAAAACCTCCTGTATACACGTGATGAATAGCATTGGAGAGATCGTGTCTCCCTGCCTTACACCCTTAGGTATATAGATTCTGTGACTCTATAGGGAACTATGGTGGCTGTGGATCCACTTCAGATTTCTTCCAGTATGTTTATGTAGGGCTCGCTAATGCCCTGATTCCGTAAGGCCTGCCTCACTATTGATGTCTCGACTGAGTTGAACGCCTTCCCGTAATATATGGAGGCTATTTAAAGGAGTTGGCTATGTTTCACGCCTTTCTCTATCACTTAGTTCATAGCACGAACATGATCGTCTGTAGAGTAGCCTGTACAAAAATTTGCTTGGTGTTTCAGTTGATTGAGCTCTAATGTGACCCTGATTTTATTAGCTATTATTTTAAAAAATACTTTGTAGAGAATGAACAGTAAGATGATGTGCCGTGTTTTTTTTTTCAGGTCATTGACGCCTCCTTACATATGATTGAAGATGAATGTTGGCATTCTTCTAGATTCTTGTACTTGTTCTGTCAAGCGACAATGCCTATATAAAATTACCAGTTTTTCTAACACAGTTTCTTCGCTGTCCTTCAGCAGGTTCGTTGTTACCTCATTCCTCACCAAAAGCTTTGCCTCTTGGATTCTTTCTAGGACTTTCCTTACTTCTACTATCGTTACTAGTACGATGTCATTTTCGTCTGGGCTAATATTGCTTCTTGCGATATCATTCTATTTTTTTAGGCTTCTATCCTATACATATTGTTAATGACGTTGCCTTTCTTGTCATTTGATGCACACCATATTTCGCCTATGCACAAGTTCGCCTTAGCAGCTTTTAGGTTTCTGCCACTTTTAGAGTCCACTCGATTTTCTTTATGTTTATATTCAGATGTTCGCAACTTTACGCCTATTGATCAACTGTGAAAGCTCCATGAGGTCTAGTTCGTTGGTTGCATTTGAGGCTTTCTTGATAGGTCTTCGCTTCATAAGAATTTCATCTGGTGCGATAGTTTGCCTGCCTCCTGTACAGTGACCATTCCTCTTACTCTCATTGCACTTTTTTATGATACTATTAATATTATTGTTCATTGCGTCTACCCTAAGATCGTTTACCACGTTTAGTGCCACGAATATATCTGCAGCGAAAACTTAATTTCTGTTCTTTCCCTTTCATCACTAGCTCAATTATTTGGCTTCTTGTGTATCAGTTTGTCTTTATTGCTAAAACTCTTGGTGAGTTCTAGTTTTTACCACTTTATAGATGGTGACTGCATTGGATCTTGTAGACTACTTCTACATACTGTAGAATGCCTTGGTGTGCGCACAGTATAAAATTCATTTCAATTTTAGTTTCGCAGTTAAGGCTCCGCCATGTCCACTTAAGGTTAGCCCATTTTCTCTTGAATGTATTAAAAATCAGTAAATTATTACGGTCTGCGAACTCTCCTAATAACTTCGCTCTGGCATTTCTAGAGCCGATGCCGTATTCCCGCACTTCACGGTCTCCGGCCTGTTTTTGCCTACTTTGGCATTAAAGTCATGCATAAGCATAAAATACTCGGACTTTATT